ATAGGGGAATGGCAATTAAGGTCTAAAATAATAAATTAATGAACTGAAAAACCAATAAGGTCCAATAATGTCCCAAAAAAAAAAAGATCTTAAGTGTGTAGAATTTAAAAGTAAAATTACTTGATAAGCCTATGCTGCAAATTAATTTCCGATGTTTCCATCTCAAAAATTGGAAAGTCCAAAATATTGGTAATTGAGGAAGATATGTGTCATATTCTTGAAACGCAGAGAAATTATCTCCAATGTTTCATTGCGAAAGATGAAAGGGTTGCAAGTTGGTTATTTGAAAAGATAAGTGTCGAATTTACGAAACTAGAAAATAATTATTTAAAGTAATTTCTTTGGGAACACGAGTCAAATTCCCAAATTGTGTGATTGAAGGCTAAGAATATCTATGCAATTTAAGTTCTGCTTTTAAATTATGACCATGACCCCTTAAAGGTCCTTTGGTACTTTTATTATTTCAAGCTTCACTGATTCTTCGATCGGTGGCATTAATTTTGCTCCCTTGAACTTTAAATGTCACTCCCTCTGTATAAAATCTATGAAAAATCGTACTCCCTGCAATTTTTAAGAGATAAGCTGCTTAATTAAATTTGGTGGATAAAAAAGTTAGTATATTAGTTAAAATACTCTCCCGTCACATCATACTATATAGAGAAAATTACAATGATACTCCTCCGGTCCTTATTATAAGACTCCATTTGACTTTTTATTTGGTCCTAATTATAGGACCCCAATCCATTTTTTCTCTTATATTTATGCATTTTTTTTCCAAGATAATCCTTCTAATAATGATAGTTTTAGCCAATATACTTAATTAGCGAGGATATTTTAGGAATAACAACACTTATTTATTATAAATAACCAACTTAACTTACTTCCTTAATCTCCTCAAATAAATCAATTGGGTCTTATAATTAGGACCGGAGGAGTATCTTAATAAAAAAATAATTACTATAAAGCCCCAATAACAAAAACAACATGTAATAACAAATTTCAGAATAAAAAAAACAACTTCTAAACTTATTTTGCAATTAGTTTCCTTCCTTGAGACCTCATTATAATTCTGTGTACTATATAACAGTATATATAATTTGGGAGAAAATTATAAATATGAGCAATAAAGTAAATTAAGGTCTTATATTTAGAAATTAAATCTAACTTTCAACTAACTCGACAATACTATTTACAACTCACAAACAGTACAAACTGAACTTAAATTCCACACAATACATAAGACAACATTTAGTTTGAATATTACCATCCAAGTTGGCATTCTTACTTATCAAAGCCAGTTATTCTCCTGGTCATCAAACATCATAAAAATTGTGTTTTGGAGAGTGGAAGTGAGTGTAGTTTTGGCTTTGGAGCACTTAGGTGAAATATGAAAAACGGAAGAGAAATGGGACCAAGGTGTCTCAATGCATCACATGAAGCCCATTAGCGTCTCCATCTCCAAACATCAACATCTGCACCTGCACCTATTAAATTAGCGTGCCCCACATATTTTTTGGGTGGGGCCATTTTGTTAAATTAACATTCTAATTTCAATTTTCAGCCATCCAATCTGTTTTAGCTTCATCTTCTCTCATCCCAATTATGTATATTTATGGCCCATAGGGTCAACATGATAATTGATAGTAACATTTACTAATCTTTTATTATAAATAATAAAACTTATTAGAAATTTAATGGACTATAGATTGTAGAGCAATCCTATTAGTGTAATTGGGGTCCTTTTTCAAATAAAGTATTTATAAGGGCTGTGAGTATTTGAAAGATTTTTTTCTCCTCCCAAAAATGTTAAAACAAATAATATATTACCTCCAATCTTTAATTTAAGAGCTAGTTAACTGATTTAAGTGGATTAAAAAATTAATTAAGTTATTTTTGTAATAAATAGGTATTATTATTTTTAAAATACCTTTACTAATCATGTGTATTAGCTAAAACTATCATTTAATAAAATTTTTAACATGTATAAGTACTACAAAAATTATCTTAAAAAATAGATAAATATGAGAGACAAAATGAATTATAATCTTATATTTATAACCAAATTTAATATCAAATTAAAATAGAAAGATATCTATACTTTAGCAAAAAAAAATTTATATTAAGGACCAGAAACAGTAGATATATACACTACATATTTTATAGATGTGAGTAATTATAGAACACATTTTGTTAATGCCAAATAACCGACTTATGAATTTTGTTTGGAATAGCATTTATCTGACATTAAACTTTTTTAAAGTGCCACAACTAAAGTTTTGGTTTAAATATCTACAAATTTCGCCAAGAAACTATAAATCAAATCAAGGGGTCTTCAAAATAATTTCGTCTGCTTTGTCTATCTTTCTTTTTTCAATTAGATTATGGGACATGCGTGTGGATAGACCAATAGAGTTTTATGACAAGAAAAAGGCTGCTTTCCAAAATTTATGACTAATGAATCTTCATATAAATCTAAATGTTTTCTATATAATATAAAATTTACGAAAATTGCAATGCATCTATATGTACGTCAGTTATCACTCCTACCTGATTCTACTTGAACTGCATGGTACAATCAGCTACTTCAAAATGTCTTGTTTAAGTGTGATGTTATTATACTTCAGCTCAAAAAAAAGTGTGATGTTATTATACTACCGCAACAGTAAAAGTAAGATATCTTGCCTCTGGCAGTTTTTAATTTATAAGTCAGGTAAATGAAATTAAAAAAAAGATAATAACTTTGGCAGATAAAGAAGATTGAAGTGTCATATTCAAAACTCAATTCAATCCTCAACTAACTATTACATTAGAAATTAGAATCCATACGGACTATGAATTATTAACAAGGTCTTTATCAATATTTCATTTTAATTGTAAAATGATCCAAAGGTCCCCACATATGATCTTGTAGAATTTAAGACAAGATTATTTGTAAATCATGCAAGGCCACTTGGAAGTGTATCTTAGATATTTTACAATTCAAATTGATCATTATTAAGGACATTAGCCTTATTAGCAATAATGCAAATTTGAAGGTCTTAATGTTAAATATATTTGTTATTTGGTCCTTATGGGTTATAAGCAAATGTTCCAATTAATTTAAAATGCTCAGCTATAAAAATGTTTAGTGATAAATTATAGATAAATAATTCGTCGACCATTAAAAGCTTCGGTTAATACAAATTTTGATCTTTCAAATTTGTCTTTGTTTTAGTTTTGATCCCTCAAGTTTTTTTATTTAAACTATTAGTCTCTATAATCTAATAAAAACTTGGACCGTTTTGCCGGGACCAAAACCTATTATTTGAAATTTGAGAGATCAAAACCAAAATAAAAACAAATTTGATGGACCAAAAATTATATTAATCCAAAAAAATTATAATAAAAATTTCTAAATATTTTTAAATCTATAATAATAGTATACTTTGGTTGTTAAATTCTTTAGGACATAATTTTGAACCATATACATGAAATGACACGTTAATGAAATAACGAACTAACGAATAAAAAGGAGTTATCTTGAAAAATTCATAGAGCACTCCAGCTGGCCTAGCTAGGATCAAGTTGGGTAAAGGAGAATGATAATGAAGTTCTAGATGACTGAATTAATGGCAATTAGATTCCTAAAGAATATTTTTTAAAATGCAATTATAAATATTCATTCAGATGATTACAAATTCAGAAATATTAATTGCAGATAAGGTATTTAAATTTCATCTAAATCGATATTTGCCATTCATTGTTTATAAATTTTTTTAAAACCTAACTCTCATTAATTTATTCTTTTGGATTAAACGCCCTACTCCTAGATATAACCTAACTTAATGGCAATATGGGCACATTATTGATAAGACAAATTTATAAATATTAATTACTGTAGAAGTTCTTTTAGATGTGACGCTTTATTCTCTAAATCAGTTCTTCAAGTGAACTCACATAAGCTTAATTTTATCCAAGACTTAAAAAAAAATCAAAAGGATCAAATAAAATTTAATTGAATTCATACGAATTTGTTTATATATATTACATAAATTAAAATGAGGCAACATCATTCTAAACTTATGCTTAAGGTCTTTAAAAAATTTTATATTTTTTATTGATGAATTTATATTTAATAAATAAATTTATAATATGTAATATGAGTCTAACCATTTTCTGACCTGGAAATAAAAATAAAAATTGGAAAAATCAGAGATTCTTCATTTTTTTTCTTTTCAATTATGCCATTAATCAGCGAAAAAGACAGAGCGTTGAAAGTGCCATAGGAAAATTAGAGCTGATGACAAAGCTTGGCCTTAGTCAAAACCAGGTCAGAGACGTAGAAATCATTGTAAAATCTACTCTTTCGGTTCTAAATATAAGACTTTTAAAAATGGAGGAATCCAAATTCTCTTTCCATGTGCAAAATAATTTATTTTTAAATTAATTTTAGAAAATATTCTGCATTTAGAGTTAAAAATCATAAATTTTATAACTATAATAATTAGATTGCAGGAGAAAAGACAGGTAATAAAAATATTTTAATTTCTTATTAACACGACAAGATACGGTAATTTTTAAGATTATTATTAATATTTTATTGTATGGCTTCTTAATTTCAATAAAAAAAATTACACCTAACAACAACTTTTTCAATCCACATGATTAAATTTTTTTAAAAAATTGTAAGAATTTTATTAAAAACATAAGTTATCATGAATAAATTGATGAGTGATATTGAGTAATTATGTGTGATGTATGCCAGACTACATTTTATATTTTTTTTATTAATTCAATCAAATGATTAAAATACCTGGTCCATATATATATATATATATATATATATGAATATATATGGGACACTAAGATGAAGATATGGGTAAAATTTATTTCCTCCCTGTTTGCTAGGCAGTCACAATCATTCACTAATATGTGTCACCAATCATGAGTAGTCCCAATCTTTAAATCCCAACCTAATATTATATATATATATATATATATATATATATATATATAGGGAGAGAGAGAGGTGGTGGTGAGGTGAGGGTCCATAAATAATGAATCAAAAGCCAAAGCTACAGAGAGTGTTGCAATTATTCATATCACCAATTTCATCTCAACCTAAGCTTCAACATCACAATTATTCCTCTAATCCACTCTAAAGCTAACACAATTAAATTAAAATAAACTATGTAAACATCTCCATCAATTAGTAATATTTAATTGAAGTATTTTATATACCAATCATTGACCAACTAAAGTAAGTCCAGTTCAATGATAATTGTGCTTTAAGTATGTCATTTATTACAAAAACAGTTTACACTTGTATTTATATAAAATTCAAATGAATTGAAATGTTTTTTTAATAGATTCATTCAAAAAAAATGCACTGGATATATGTAATATTTGTTAGTATTATGAGATCTTATATGATATTGATGTTGATTTATAACCACTAGATTTTATTGTTGCATATTATGACATTTCCTTTCATTATTACTCTATGACATATGAATAATATAACTAATTACAGATTCATAGAACACGCAGATTAAATCACTAATAACTTATTAGATGATTATAGTTTGATGTTATTAAAATGGCAAAAACATTTATTTAGAACAAATTGAAGTCTCAAACAAAATAAAATGAATAACAACAAGCAAAAATAAAATTTGAGAATCTTTGAATATTTAGTGTCTAATTCTTTGAATGTAATTGCCTTCAATTAAAAAAATACAATGAAGAATATAAATTATTAAAATTAATTTAAATTGAACAGTAAAGAATGAAGATAAATTTTCAAATAAATTCAATAAAGCAAATAAAATGACAAAAATAAATTTTATAATATCATCCGCGGTTGGTTCCATTGAAGGGAACTCAGTTCAAGAAAGTGTACGAAAAGGTAGATTTCGTAATAAAATTAAGAATAACACGGTTTAAAAATGTCTTTTAAAAAAAAAAAAAAAAAGGTCCCATTTTAGGTCTCTCTCTCCTTCCATATATCTTCGTTCATTCTCAAACTAATTCCTCTCTCCCCCTCTCTCACTATCTTCTCTCTCTATGAGTAGTGAGATACCCCTACTTGCTCTAAAGAAGAAGAAGAAGAGGCAGGGAATAAGGAACAAGGCATGAAAAGCACCCTACGGTGTTGCATCTCTTGCATTCTCCCCTGCGGAGCTCTCGATGTGATCCGTATCGTTCATTCCAACGGCCGCGTCGAGGAGCTCACCGGCTCCGTCAAGGCCTCCGACATCATGAAGGCTCACCCTAAGCACGTCCTCAAAAAACCTTCCTCTTCCTCCACCTCCGCCGCCGCTTCCGCCTCCTCCGACGGCGTCGTCCCTCGCATCGTCATCGTCCCTCCCGACGCCGACCTCCAGCGCGGCAAGATTTACTTCCTCATGCCTCTCCCTTCGTCGTCCGCGCCTCCGATACCGGAGAACAACCGGCCGAGGTCGTCTTCGTCTTCGTCGTCTTCAGCGACGGCGAGGAGCAAAAAGAGGAAAGAGCACAGACAGAAAACAATCTGTAATAGTCGTACCGGTAATTTGCTTGCCTCCTCCGATCGTTACTTGAACGATATACTGTCGGAGAAGCTCTCGACGCAGCGAGACCGAAGACGAGGACGCGTCGCTGTGTGGAGGCCTCACTTAGAGAGCATTTCAGAGTCAAATACCGATTGATCTGTAACGAGAGAGCCACGTACGGTTCTTCAATATATATTAATTTGTTCGAAAATCTCTCTGCTTAATTTGCTCTGATGAGGCATCTTCTTCTTCGTCTGTAATTAAATTCACATATTTTTAGAACTCAAATTATACTTCTCTCAATCCATTTTTGAATTTACAGACAACAGTTCTGTTTTTCTCCTCTGCTTCTTCCTCCTCCTCCCCCCCTGTTTTCACCTCTGCTACTGCAACTGAGTACTCAGTTTTATAATAAGTCGAATTAACAAGTACAAAAATACTTAGGGTTTTGAAGTTGCCATCGGGTTTCCGATAGATCATCTGAATCTTCTTATAACCATTGAGCTTCCATGATCATTCTCAGGGTTTTTGACTTTTTTCTTGTTCAATACAGTGGAGTCCCCGGGCCGGGAGATAAGAGAGATTCTTTGACGGAAAATGATAACTAACCATCCAATTATTATTATAATGTTTAATTTGAATGTGTAGCCTCATTTTTCTAGCTTATAGATATGGGTTGAGTTTATTATTGTAATCTTAAATAACAATATACTCATTCATTTCTTAACATAGGAATTAGTTTAAAAGTTAATATTAATTTTATGTATAAGACCTATTTCATCTACTTATTAATTTTTTTCACAAATTAATCCTATTGATCAATAATAATTAAGTAGGAGATAGAATATTTTTGACTTAATTTCAACCAAAAATATTATATTTTTAATTAGAGGGGTAACATTAATAACTTAAGTTATGGGGGGGATCAAACCCATAACTTTTTCTATATATATGAAAAATTAGGTTGAGTTAGGCTCCAAAATTCACTTAAAACATGTTTTAAGGTTCAAAGAGCGTTTAGTAGGAAACTCATAACTTTATAAGTTATAAACTGACTCCTTAATAAGTAAATTAATTTTTGTTGATAGGTCACAACTTTAATCAGGTAGAATTTACATGAATACAGATAATTTATTAATTATTAATTTTATAAAAGAAGAGGTGCTACTTTCCACAAATGAATTGTTTAAATATCAGCTTTTGTGGTTGTTAAAAAATGAAAGTACAAAACAATTTAAGCAACTTGTAGTTATAATACTGACGATAACAGATCTAGTGAAAAAAAAAAAAGTGGGTGATAATTATGTGATTTTTGAGAAAAAGGCATAATAAATAAAGCAAAAAGCATGACATGGATGAATGAATGGGGTTGTGATTAGCTGTGGTGACTTTAATTGATGTGAAAGAGTGAGTACATGAGGAATGGAGAGATCCTACTTTGCACTGTGCAATGCTTAGAGCACTATCTGGGAAAAATTCCGTATGACGGATAGTGATTGCGACGTGATCGATGTTATGTGTTGCAGGCAAAAATGATCTCTCCTCAATTATTGACAACAAGAATAATCTTTATCATCAATTTTGGTTCTTTACTTGCACCTCAAAAACATGATTACGTGAATTTATGTTGACAGAAATGATTTTATCTCAAAAAATTTATTTTAATTTGTTAACTTTAAAATCATGTCAAATATTTTTTTTTTCCTATCTAGGGCTTTGTAAGGCTAAGAAGTAAGAAAAATCACAAAAAAAACCATGAAAATTACACAATTGTAAATTAGATATTTTGTCAAAAAAATTTTGTCATTTGCTATTTCATTTTTGTTAAAACCTATACGATTTTTGTAATGGATCCTGATTTGTAATTTTGCAATTTTTATGATTTTTTTTTGTGATTCCTTGGAGAAGTTATCACTAAAAAAAAAAGGAGTACATTGGTCAAAGTTGGTCAAAATGCCCATTTTGATATTGATATGCAAGTTGAGAATTTTGTAAAGCTAAGTGACGAATATGTAAACAAAAAGTCGTGTAGTTTTTATAATTTGAGATTTTACTTGCATTTTTAAACGGTTATTGGGTCAAACTTAAAATGTTTGTGTTGATAAATGCTCATTGAAAAATTTGGAAGGTTAAACTAAAAGGCTGTCTCGGGTCCTTTTTAATCAAGAATCTTTTTCATATCCTTTCTTTTTTTAATTATTATTCACATACATGTTTATGTTAGAGGCAATTCAATTTAAAATATAGCGAGACACTAAATGTGGACAGGAGATATTTTTGAAATCAATGTCCAAATCAAAGTTAGGTTAAAGTAATTAATTATGTCTACAGATTGAAAATGTTAGAATAATGAATGTAAAAAATATCTTAGTTCACCAAAAACAAATCTTAATTCAGAAAAATTATAATTGAACTTTTAAAATTTTAACTTTTCGAGATTTGCAAACTACAAGCATTTTGAAAAGGAAAAATTCTAAAAAAGTGACTGTTGCATTTCAAAATGATAAATTAGTATTGGTTACTACACTTATAAAAAAATAACTACACTTACAAAGCAAATAACAACATATTTTTGTTGTAATTCCTGATTTGTCATTTTAAAATTCAACAGTCACTTTTTTGGGATTTTCTCTTTTGAAAATTCACTTTATTTAGACATAAGAGGAGATGGAGCAAGGGAATTCCCTCCAATTTACTTAATTAATTTAGATAAATTAGAAAAATTAAATAAATTAGTTAATTATAATAAATATAATATGATCTCAATAAAATATTTCTATATATATAACATTAAATTATATATGAATTTATAAATTATGTAAATTAGTTTGAAAATTTTGATAGATATAAGAAAAAAATTAATTAAAGTCTTACATTTAAAATCAAATTTAATATCTCAACTAACACGTATAATACAAATAAAGTGAAATACCTCTTTATTAATATTTATAAGTCATTTGTAGAAAAAGAATGTGTTCTCAATATAAGTCATTTATAAGTTAATGAATGAGCTTTTTTTAATTTTATTCCTATTGATTTGAATAAGTGGAGAAAATACGAAACATGTTCTTTAAATATCCTTTATTAATAGGCGTAGGTGAAAAATTATCAATTTAGTGTATTTTTTTAATTTTCGAATTCAGGATGCAAGTGATTTAAACACGGCGGTAGAATTGAAACGCTGTGGCGCGGACGTTTGTTAGAGGAAAACGATGGAGTTCGTCGGTGCAAGTCATTCATATTTCTGAAAGGAAAGAACATGACATAAGGATTCCATCACTTTCCCTGCCTTCCTTGCTTCTTTCCCTTTCTTATCACTACATCATCACCGTGATATTTATTGTTTGTCATTTGTGGGGAAAATTTTTTTTTTTATTACTTGCATCTTTTTAATACTTTATTTCTAATTTTATCTCTATTAATTATACTAAAGATAAAAAAGAAATGTATAAAAATATACACTAGTATTTAATACTTTTCTTAACAAAAAAATAAAAAAATTTATCTATTTAATACGAATACTACTTTTTAAATAGAAAAAATAGCAAATAAAGACTCCCGATATGTGAAATTATGATCTGAGACTCTTAATTTGAAAAATAGCAAATAAAGACCCAGTTTTATATTGTAAATATGAAATTTTGGTGAAATATCTGAAATACCTCTAAGTTAAATGACAAGTTAATTATAGGAAATGACAAATTCACTTTAGTAAATAACAACTTTAATAGACCAAATCACAACTTGGTTGAGGGTATACCAAATGACAAGTTGACTATAGAAAATGACAAGTTCACTTTAGCGAATGACAATTTCAGTAGATCAAACCACAATTTAACTGAAAAATATTTCAGACATTTTATTAAGATTTTATATTTGTAATATGTGATCGAGTCTTTATTTGCTATTTTTTCTTTTAAATATATGAGAAGTTTTTGCAAGTGACAAATGGCTTTAATTCCTCAACTCACCTTTTTCTCTCCTCTTTTTTAATTTTTAAAATTTTGGCTTTTTAGAAAAGAAATTATTTTGAGGGGCCCCCAAAGCAGGAGGATAAATTCATCCATCTCTTTGCAGTGCAGATCCCCAGTGTCCCCCCACCCCTAAATGATGGAAAGTTTAGAATAATAACATCTGAAAAAAAAATTAAATAAATAAAAAGTCCGGACAGGAATGTATATAATTCATCCTCATATTCCCCAACGTTTCCATCTTCTTTTATCTAGAATTTTTCTAGTGCCGAGGAAAAAATAATAAGTTCTTTTTCTAGACTAATTCTTTTCAAATATTAAATAGGTAAAATTAATAAGATATAAATATAAATTTTTAAAATATTATTAATATCAAGTTTTTCACAAAATATTCATATGTTATAGGAAGTTAGGAACGTTTCTTTTTCTCACACTCTCCCTAAACTACTTGGGTCAAATTCTAATTAATTATTAATTATAATTATTTAATTCGAAATAATAAAAGAGATCCTGCAGAAAGAAGAAAGTGATTGAAAATTGTAAAATGATTATAGATATAGTTTTTGGTTTCTTGTAATACATAATTTTGATTTCAAATGATTTAATTTATACCATTATTTATCTAGATAAATTTGATATTATTCGTTGTGTCACATCTGAAAAAAAAATACCGAACTTTTTTAATAAAATAAAATAAAATAAAAACGGAGATAACTTTGAGTTAGAAGAGATGGAGGGTCCCTACCATGCTTTCCACTATATGAGCTTCTTAATAATATAGACTGTTGAATGGGATGTGATCACTTTTTTTTCCTCAAATAAATAACCCACTTTATTTAAAGTACATTTATTTTTTAAAAAAAAAAGCATACTAATTTAGTCATGAACAACTAAATCTACAAGTGAGCTTTACTTGGCAAAGTAAGATCTCATTCAGGTATGAATAGATGACAAACCAAGAGATCTTAATCCATAAAATTTTGATTCCCTAATCCCTTTTTAGTTTTTATATATTCCTTACCTAAGCTTCTCATTCAAGTATTTTGTCTTTTAAAAAAATAAATTAAAAAAGTTTTGTGTAATTTTTTTTAAATTTTTTTAAAAAATAGTTCCTCTCTTTGCAATCCATGGTTTGGTTCTTTCTTTCTTTCTTTCTTTTTGGGAAGCGGATTTCCAAAAGCTACAGGCCTACAGTAAAAATAAAAATAAAATCGATATTGCACTTGTGCATACGTGATGA